GCTCCACTACACTACAACTACAACTACACAACTACACAACTACACTCCACTACACAGCGCTACACTAAATTACACGACACTACCTCACACTACACTACACTCCACTACACTACATTACATACACTACACTACCTTCCACTACACTTCACTACATTACACTACACTCCACTACACTACAACTACAACTACACTCCACTACACTCCACTACACTAAATTACAGTACACTACACTACATTACACTACACTACACTCCACTACGCTACACTACATTACACTACACTACCTTCCACTACACTTCACTACATTACACTACACTACATTACACTACAACTACAACTGCACAACTACACTCCAGTACACTCCAGTACACTCCACTACACTAAATGACACTACACTACATTACACTACACTACATTCGGCTACACTCCACTACACCACATTACGCTACACTACATTACACTGAATGACACTGCACCACAGATAGACAGGTAGACAGATAGACAGATAGACACATGAAAGAGAGACAGAGAGAGAGATACGTAGATAGTTAGATAGATAGATAGATAGATAGACAGATAGACAGATAGACAGATAGACAGATAGACAGATAGACAGATAGACAGATAGACAGATAGACAGATAGATAGATAGATAGATAGATAGATAGATACATAGAAGATAGACAGGTATAGGTAGGTAGATAGTCAGAGAAAGAGAGAGAAAGAGAGGAGACCTCAAGCACCCATCAGTGGATTCGCTCTGCCATCCCTGATTCACAACAACCAATCTCTCCTATAGGTTTCCTATTTCTGAAACTTCCGCCACCGCCTTCTGCGGTACTACTGGTACAAATATATACATGATATATATATATATATATAAATATTTGTATATGTATATATGTATGTATGATATGGAATGTATATAAATAAATAAATATATACATGATATATATATATATGAATACATCTTAAAATATATGATATATGATATATGATATGATATATATATATGAATTGATATGATATGATATATATATATATATGATATAAATGATATATATATATATATGATATATAAATGATATATACATATGATATAAATGATATATATATATATAAATAAATAAATATATATATTTATATGATATATATATATGATACATATATATATGATATATATATATAAATGATATAAATATATATGATATAAATATATGATATATATAAATATGATATATATATATATATGATATATATATATATATGTGTTTGAGGTATGTAAAAATATGATATGATATATATAAAAATATGATACATCAGGAGGAAGAAAGTTTTTTCCCGTTTAGCGTCTTATTAATATCATCATTCGCAGCCGCGGATCAATGATCCTCATTTCGCGTGGCCTGCGTGGTCGATCGTATTTTAAGTCGGAATGGGGAGAGGGTTGGAGTAGCTAGTCAAGAGGAAAAACTTTTGTCCTGGTTTTGCGTTATTTTACACCTTCAGCATTGCCTAGAAGAGAAGACCTAAAATTTCACTCGCACCTTTAGTCTTCAACGCGACAGGTGGACGTACTGTGTGAAGCTGAACATGCCTATAGGGACACAACTCTTTCGAGGTGAAAATTTTCATCAAAAAAAACAAAATTGTTTAGTGGAAAATGCTCATCAGGAGGAAGAAAGTTTTTTCCCGTTTAGCGTCTTATTAATATCATCATCCGCAGCCGCGGATCAATGATCCTCATTTCGCGTGGCCTGCGCGGTGGATCGTATTTTAAGTCGGAATAAATTAAAATTCTTTTAAAGCAAACCAGCTGATCCGCGATCCGCGATGTCATCCATATGCAACCTGTCAGGAGTCTAAGGGGAGAGGGTTGGAGTAGCTAGTCAAGAGGAAAAACTTCTGTCCTGGTTTTGTATATATATATATATGATATATATATATATGATATATATATATGATATATACATGATATATATATATATATGATATATATATATATGATATATATATATATATGATATATATATATATGATATATATATATATGATATATATATGATATATATATGATATATATATGATATATATATATATATATGATTATATATGTATATGATGTATTAGATATAATGAGACTTAAGAACCTCCATTTAGTTCGATGATTTTCTCAGCTATAAACGTCCATTTTGATTGGGGATTTCCCAGCTATGGTCCGAGGTCCAGGTCTCCCTACAAGCATGTACAGCAACAGGCGGCAGCCGAAAATCACCCAGACTTCCTGCCGTTTTCAGCAGCAATTTCCCGGAACAGGTGGGACCCCAAGAAAAACACATGGGATTCAACATGATCCGAACATCACATAAATTTGTGGGTTTGACAAAAACATGGCGATATGTGGACCCATGTACAAAAACAACGAGATTCAGCTGCCCACTACACTGCTGGAGAGATGGGCTCTATGACCCGGGGAACGTCCGTCGCTGGCGCTCCAGGCCGATCCCTCAATGCCGACATCGTATTCCGGCTCCATCTCAATGTAGACAGGCAGGTCATCACGCGGAACGATGGGGTTTTCATCAATATTTTCTGCACAGCTGGCCTTCACCGGACGGGATGTGGTGCTGTTGAGCACCATCAGCGACAACCCCCAAATCCCGCAAATGTTTGTCTGGAAGTAGGCCGCCACAGATTTCACATTCCATGGGGCCTGATACATGGGGGTGGTTGTTTAATGGACCTACTGGGCGTCCTGAGATTTGGGTATACTCCCCAGATGGCAATCTTAATAGCGAAATGAATCAACGACCACATTCGGAGGCTACTTTGTAGGAGTTTGGCTGTTTAACTCCCAAATCGGGGATTTAAGAACTGAAGATGCAAATTTTATTAAGGGATTTTGACATGGGTTCAAAGGAACATTTAAATGCGACGTGGAATTGTGGGAGGTTGCTTTTGATTTTATTTACCTTCAGCCACACAAGGCAGCAAGACTATGCCATGTATTGGATTGATCAGGATGAAACTTGGGATATTGAATGGGGTTTCTGCCACAATTGGCTGTACTTGCTGGTTAATTCATACTGCAAGATACATTTTTTAGATCATAATTCCACATGGATTTGTTTGAAAATAGGGTACCCCAACTTCAAATGGTTGTTCATCACATTTCCCATCAAAATTGCTACTTTATGGGTATACCACATTTTCACACGTGCCCATGGTATATTTCTTGCTACAAGCTAGCTGTAGACCTAGGATCGAACCTGCCATGGTCACTTTGCCGATCTCTTCATCCCACGCTTAAAAATCTGTATCTTTTAGCCTACTGGAGCCTGGAACATACTAAAGTATACTATATGAAATGGGGTTTTATGGTGTTGATAGCCATTATAGCTGGAACACATATTATAAAATACTACAATTTAAAAACATATACGATCACGTATATTATAAATTATCAATACTATATATTATATATTAAACATTCTTTTTAACACATTATATTAAAAATTAAATTATATTTTCGATAGTATATATATATATTATAAAATATATTATAGATAATAAATTCTATGATATATTATATTATATATATTATATATTATATTAAATATTATATATTATTTTATATATTATATATTCTATTATATTCATGCTGTTATAGCTGGGAAAATCATCGATTTTCATCGAACTCCATGGCGACATGACTTGGCAATTTCCATGTGACCACCCCATGGGCCGCACATCGGCCCTCGACTCCAAAAATGGGGAGTTTCCCCAGCATCCAAAGGTGATTTAATGAGGATAGACTTGGGGATTGAAGCAATTTTGGGAGCCCTTAACCCATGGGTGGAAGAAAAAGATCTGATTTGTAGATCTGATTTCATCCCAAACGACCAGAGATCCACCATGACGATTCCCAGGTCGCGATGTGAGGTCACTTGGAGGATCATCCCACGAATCATCACTGGTAGGGGGTTAGAACCGGCTGAAAAAATGAGATAACCCTAGGGACCTACGTTCACCAGGGTTAGTAGCCACTTGTGATCCGTGGAATGATCCTTGTAGCTCAACAGCTTGAACCTAAACCACAAACGGGCATGGTTCATCCTCAACTTTCTTATGACGTGATGAGTTCAGGGTATACTCTTCACTGCAGAATACCACATTATTGTGCCAATCCGTAAAGTCAAAGCCGGATTTAAAGGACCCAGGCTGTTTACTTGTGGTGGATACAATTTTAATATCAAACGGGGGGGTTATCCCCGTATTGATAGCTAGGGTAAAACTTAATCCTCTGTTTATTGACGATTGGATCCCCATGAAGCCCTTTATGTGGTTGGACTTCCGCATAGACCATCATTATTCATGATCAATCACATAGATTCACATAGCATAAATTGTTGCCATCTTCATTTTAAATCACTACTAAATGACAATGCCACAAAAAATCACAAGTGTATATTATATCTCTATGTGTGCCATCTTCAACACATGGTATATGTGGTATGGTCATCCCACCATTGTCCTCAAGCTTACCGATGGCACATATGGACACTTTCCATATATCCCCCATCATGTCATCCCCATTCTACATGGAAATCCCATTAGATCCCATTAAACCACCATTAAACCCCATTAAGTCCGCATTAACCCTCCATTAAATCACAATTCAACCCCCACTAAACTTCCATGAAACCCCATTAAACCCCGTTAAAACAACATTTTTCTTGTTGAAGTCACAAATTTTTGCCCCTCCTCGGGAACGTCTTGGCCGTCATGGCGCACTAAAAAGGCTTGGCTGGTGGCGAAGACCAGCAAGGTCGTGAGGAAATAGAGCTTTCCTGCCGTGGATTCTTTGGTGATTAATGGGGGTTAATGGTGATTAATGATGATTAATGGATACTATTGATGGCTATTAATGGTTGCTAAAAAGTGAGTGATGATTGTTCATGGTGATTTTTCATGGGTTTTTCCTAGTTGTGGAACTCCAAGTTTCCCACCATGCCATGTCTCAGTTTCACTTGATTCAAAGTTATTAATGCTTAGTATTGATCTGATTGGTGGTTTCAACCCTTCTGAAAAATATTAGTCCGTTGGGATGATTATTCCCAATATATGGAAAAATAAAAAAGGGTCCAAACCACCAGCCAGTGATGGTTAATGGTTAGTGATGAGTGTTGAATGGTGATTCATTTCGTTTTCCTGCAACGTGCTGCGAAAGGAAATGCGGAGTTCACCATACTTCACCAACAACCATTTGGCAGTGAAACATGAAACATGGTGATTTAACATGATTTAACCAAGGCAAATAGGGATTTGTAACGGGATTCATCGCTGACTTATAGCTGATCATAATGGTTACGAATGATTATTGCTGGTTACTAATGATGATTGTAATGGCACATAAAGCCAAACTGGTGCTAATTACAGGGAAGATGACATTGTGAGTGGGAGGATTGTTAATAATTATGGATCATTTCCCCCATTTCCTACATTTAGCTCCAGGAAATAAAGCCATGAAACTCCGATGATCCCTCACTTAGCAATCTCTTTATTGGTAGGAACGGCCTCAAGGATTAACTGTTGATTTCCAGATGTAGTTCCCCACCTGCCAGGTGAGGGTTGTTAGATTTTATGTCAGTTGCCTCCTCCTCCTCCTTCTCCTCCTCCTCCTCTCCTCCTCCTCCTCTCCTCCTTCCTCCTAATCCCTCCTCCTCGTCCTCCTTGTCATCCTTGTCGTCCTTGTCGTCCTCGTCGTCCCCTCGTCGTCCTCGCGTCCTCGTCTCAACTGCGACCCGCGATCCACAGTGTTCTCTGCCGGACCTCACCACGACCATCCACGCCCAGTGTTCCCTGCCGACCTCAACCACGACCAGCCACGCCCAGTGTTCCCTGCCGGACCTCAACCACGACCATCCACGCCCAGTGTTCCCTGCCGGACCTCAACCGCGAGTATCCACGCCAAGTGTTCCCTGCCGGACCTCATGTAGGAAGATAAAATGTCAGATAGAGTGCCAGAAGATTTGCCAGGTAGAATGCCAGAAAATATGCCAGAAGATATGCCAGATAGATATGCCAGAAGATATGCCAGAAGATATGCCAGATAGAATGCCAGATAGAATGCCAGAAGATGCCAGAATGCCAGAAAATATGCCCAGAAGATATGTCAGAAGATATGCCAGAAGATATGCCAGATGCCAGATAGAATGCCAGAAGATATGTCAGAATATATGCCAGAAGATATGTCAGATAGAATGCCAGAAGATATGTCAGATATGCCAGAAGATATGCCAGATAGAATAGAATGCCAGATAGAATGCCAGAAGATATGCCAGAAGATATGCCAGATAGAATGCCAAATAGAATGTCAGAAGATATCCAGATAGAATGCCAGAAGATATGCCAGATAGAATGCCAAATAGAATGTCAGAAGATATGTCAGATAGAATGCCAGAAGATGTGCCAGTAAGAACATGTATAAATGTCATGGTGGGGATCACACGAAGTAAAGTATTTTTTTTTTGACCGGCTTCCCGACCATTTTGTTTCTGCATTAAAACTGTCTAATGGATCTACAGAGCAAACCCCTTGCCACTCGAGGAGGGTCTACCTTGCAATGCCCGCGTTGCCCTCGTGCGTCCTAACAAGAAGTAGGTGGTTGCGAACTTGAACCAAACGGTGTCCTTAGTGCAGGACCAGCTGTCAGTTGATTTGGGATGAGTTGGGCATCTGTCAGTACCAACTGACCTAGTTAATTGGGTTGTTCGCATTACCTTCACATGGATTTGCTCACATCTGGGATGTTCACCATGGTAGCAGTCCCGTACAGCTCGGTCTCTCCATGCACCTTAAGGTATATACACTTGGAAGCTTCTAGGGTTCACAGGAGTGACCACCTCATTCCTTGCACCTCCTGGCCAACATTGTCCACCTCTTTACCCACGTTGTCAACTCGCCTGCCCAAGGTCGTCGTGACTTTCTCCCTACCAGCTTTGCGACGGCGGCGCTCCCTGTGAACGTTGGGGTCCCCTTTGAAGGACCGTTGCAAGGAGCTGTTGCGATGCCACTGGAGGGAACTGCCATACTCGCCTGAGACATTTCAACGCTTCACCGCACACGGAAGACGGTTTGTTTTTGTTGAGTTTGTTTCGGAAGGTTTCCATCCAAACCGTTTTTCGTTGCTTCATTTTCGACATTCCGCCGGGTGGTCTACTGTCCGATAATCATCCCATGTGTTGAGGCACAAAATGTACTCGAAACCACCCAGAAATGAGGCCACTTGAAAGATAGAACCACACCAGTTCAAAAGTATGAAAAGACTAGGCAATCATATGCAATGGTAGTCTAACTTGGCAAAGACATCTTTGATCATTTGGTGGTTGACAAACCTTTTGAGATACCACGATATCTGACGTCGCATTGAAACAAAGGTCCGTCCCAAGCTCTGCTGCAAGCCGTGGATGATTCAGGTCTCGAAACTTGGCCTTCATGATGATCCAAGGCTACAGATTTTGAGCGGAACCAAAGAAAGCACACCAGTTTTTTTAACCTACTAATATTGAAAGAGGTCGCATCCCCGAATCACCCCATCCCAATCACCCAATCAACCCCCGAAAAAGCTCCACTTTACGAATCCGAAAAATATCGACAGATCAGCCACAAGACTAAGGTTTTACTTTCGGCTTTGATTGGTTGGCTAAGGGTCTTTTTTGTAGGCCCCGTGTTCCACTTGCTAACCTTGGTTGCTTGTTGATACTCTGTCAAGAATTCAACTCCCAGTGTGATATTTGGGTTTGTCTGAAAATGAGGTCTACCCGCAATGACTAATTTATGATAATTAAATGGAGAACATTATGATAAACCTTGGGATGGAAAGGGGGCACCGGTTTTTCCGACAAATCCATAGAGTCAACCCATCTTAGCTGTAAAAACTAATGATCTGAACTGGCTGCTGGTCATCACACCCCAAATGTAAAAGTCAATCGGTAGATTACTCAAAAAAAGGTTCACAAATAAAATGCTAATCCCATCCTCTTTAGATTAAAAACGAAATGAATAGATCCAATACAAACGCAGGGTTCTAAGAAATTATATCTTAGATACCTGCAAAGGATCACAATTTTAGCTGTCTAGATAAACGCATCTATGGCAAACGGTTAGACTGTTGAATGTGGTTGAACTACCCATCCAAGGCTTGCCCCCTTTATATCAATTCTATGCCCATCGATTGCTGGTGGAATGCCAATTTTTTGGGACACATCATCAATGATTGATCTCACTCTTGCTGGTGCTCAGTAAACCCCCTATCTCAATAGCCAGCCACTAGGGTGTATGGCTCCAATCCATCCAGCCAGCTACGTCCATTTTTGTTGCTTAACTCCTCATGTTGGGGGATTGTGTTTCATATTTCTGGGTAAATTATAATATTTCACTAACCTGAATAGTTCGGTCACTTGGGGATGATTTCCCTTATTAACCATGATTCAAGTGAGGGAGAACAGTGAGGTCGTTATAATTTACCCAGATATTTTTATGATCCCAATCTTTCTTCATCCCGTCATTTTCCTTGGCCCAGAATTGGGCCATTGGTGGTTCCGCCCAGTCTCCGCAGCCAACGCGCAGCAGGGATGGCTGGCAATCCTGGGGCTGGTGAACTGTGGTGAATAAATGGCTATTGAAACAACGAAAACATATGCTTGACTAGATAGTTGATGATATTTGGACCTAAAAAACTGGCCTGGTTTAATCTGATGGAAATCTACTTCATTCTTTTCCCCGAGAGCGTCTGAGTGCAGGGTTCTTCCAATAGTGGGGGTCTGTATCTCATCTTCTCATCTTCACACCTTCTCATCTTCACACCTTCTCATCTTCACATCTTCTCATCTTCTCATCTTCACATCTTCTCACTTCACATCTTCTCATCTTCACATCTTCTCATCTTCACATCTTCTCCTCGTCACATCTTCTCATCTTCACATCTTCTCATCTTCACACCTTCTCATATTCACATCTTCTCATCTTCACATCTTCTCACTTCACATCTTCTCATCTTCACATCTTCTCATCTTCACATCTTCTCATCTTCACATCTTCTCATCTTAACATCTTCTCATCTTCACATCTTCTCATCTTCACATCTTCACATCTTCTCATCTTCACATCTTCTCATCTTCACAGCTGCTGATCTTCACATCTTCTCATTTTCACAGCTGCTCATCTTCACATCTTCGCATCTGCTCATCTTCATATCTTCTCATCCTCACATCTCCACATCTCCACATCTTCACATCCTCACATCTTCACATCTTCTCCTCTTGCCCTCTTGCCCTCTTGCCCCTCTTGCCCTTTCCTTCTTTTCTATTTCTCTTCTGAAGGCGGGGGCAGGGGCAGTGCCAACGAGACGGAACGAAACGCAACCATTGTGATTTCAACTTGTCCGGCGCAACCCTTTCGCACGAAACGAGGTTTGATCGCTGTAAAATTGCGATTTCAACTTGTCCGGCGCAACCCTTTCGCACAAAACGAGGTTCGATCGTCAAAAACTGAGGTAAAAGTGCGAGTTCAAGTCGTCCCGCGCAACCCTTTCGCACAAAATGAGGTTCGATCGCCAAAAACTGATGTAAAATTGCGATTTCAACTTGTCCGGCGCAACCCTTTCGCACGAAACGAGGTTCGATCGTCAAAAACTGAAGTAAAATTGCGATTTCCGGGTTCCCGTTGCAACCCTTTCGCACGAAATGAGGGTCGATCACCAAAAACTGCGGTAAAATTGCGATTTTTTCTGTGTGTACAAAGCTTCTGTGTGCTGTGTGTCAAAGCTTCTGTGTGTAAAAGCATCTGTGTAAAAGCGTCTGTGTAAAAGTGTCTGCTTAAAAGCTTCTGTGTGCTCTGTGTAAAAGTGTCTGTGTGTAAACGCGTCTGTGTGTAAAAGTTTCTGTGTGTAAAGGTGTCTGTGTGTAAAAGCTTCTGTGTGTAAAAGCGTTTGTGTAAAAAGCGTCTTTGTAAAAGCTTCTGTGTGTACAATCTTCTGTGTGTAAAAGCCTCTGTGTGTAAAAGCTTCTGTGTGTAAAATCTTCTGTGTGTAAAAGCCTCTGTGTGTAAAAGCGTCTGTGTGTAAAGCCGTCTGTGTGTAAAAGTCTCTGTGTGTAAAAGTGTCTTTGTGTCAAAGCGTTTGTGTAAAAGTGTCTGCCTGTGTGTAAAAGCGTTTGTGTAAAAAGCGTCTGTGTAAAAGCTTCTGTGTGTGCCTTTGCTTCTGTGTGTAAAAGCCTCTGTGTGTAAAAGCTTCTGTGTGTAAAATCTTCTGTGTGTAAAAGCCTCTGTGTGTAAAAGCGTCTGTGTGTAAAGCCGTCTGCGTGTAAAAGTCTCTGTGTGTAAAAGTGTCTTTGTGTCAAAGCGTTTGTGTGTAAAAGTGTCTGCCTGTGTGTAAAAGCAATTGTGTAAAAAGCGTCTGTGTAAAAGCTTCTGTGTGTACAATCTTCTGTGTGTAAAAGCCTCTGCGTGTAAAAACTTCTGTGTAAAATCTTCTGTGTGTAAAAGCCTCTGTGTGTAAAAGCGTCTGTGTGCAAAGCCGTCTGTGTGTAAAAGTTTCTGTTGTGTATAAGTGTCTTTGTGTCGAAGCGTTTGTGTGTAAAAGTGTCTGCGTGTAAAAGCGTCTGCGTGTAAAAGCGTCTGCGTGTACAAGCGTCTGCGTGTAAAAGTGTGTGTGTGTAAAAGCGTGTGCGTGTAAAAGCGAGTGTGTGTGTGCGTAAAAAAGTCTGTGTGTGGAAATGTTCTCAGAATGACCAAACTGTGTGGTCCAAAAGCGCCTGTGTGTAAAAGTCTCTGTGTGTAAAACTGTCTGTGTGTAAAAGCGCCTGTGTGTAAAAACGTCTGTGTGTAAAAGCGCCTGTGTGTAAAAACGTCTGTGTGTAAAAGTGTCTGTGTGTAAAAGCGTCTGTGTGTTAAAGCGTGTGTTTGTGTATGTGTAAAAGTGTGTATGTGTGTAAAAGTGTCTGTGTGTGTGTGTAAAAGTGTGTGTGTAAATACAGTAGCACAACCAGAGCTGTTCGAGTGTGCTGCATCTGTCGCGGACTCAGGCTCCATGTGTTTTTTCTGCATCGGGTTGTTTCACATATGCATAGGCACTTCTGGCTGCATTTGCTATGTGTTTTTCATCTGAGACGATCGGAGTTGTTGTTCACTGTGATTTTGCCTGAGGCACTCACAATTTTTCCCGAGAGCGTCTGAGCGCAGGGTTCTTCCAATAGTGGGGGTCTGTAAAACATCTTCTCATCTTCACATCTTCTCATCTTCACATCTTCTCATCTTCACATCTTCTCATCTTCACATCTTCTCCTCTTCACATCTTCTCATCTTTACATCTTCTAATCCCTCATCTTCACATCTTCACATCTTCTCATCTTCACATCTTCTCATCTTCACATCTTCTCATCTTCTCATCTTCACATCTTCTCATCTTCACATCTGCTCATCTTCACATCTTCTCATCTTCACATCTTCTCATCTTCACATCTTCTCATCTTCACATCTTCTCATCTTTCTTCACATCTTCTCATCTTTCTTCACATCTTCTCCTCTTGCCCTCTTGCCCTCTTGTCCTCTTGCCCTCTTGCCCTCTTGCCTTCTCCTTCTTTTCTATTTCTCGCTTGAAGGCGGGGGCAGGGGCAGTGGCAACGAGACGGCACGAAACGCAACCCTTTCGCACGAAATGAGGTTAAAACTGAAGTAAAATTGCGATTTCAAGGTGTCCCGCGCAACCCTTTCGCACGAAATGAAGTTCGATCGCCAAAAACTGAGGTAAAAGTGTGAGTTCAACTTGTCCGGCGCAACCATTTTGCACGAAATGAGGTTCGATCGCCAAACACTGAAGTAAAATTGCGATTTCAAGGTGTCCGGCGCAACCATTTCGCACGAAATGAGGTTCGATCGCCAAAACCTGAAGTAAAATGGCGATTTCCGGGTTCCCGTTGCAACCCTTTCGCACGAAATGAGGGTCGATCGCCAAAAACTGTGGTAAAATTGCGATTTTTTCTGTGTGTACATAGCTTCTGTGTGCTGTGTGTCAAAGCTTCTGTGTGTAAAAGCATCTGTATGCAAAAGCGTCTGTGTGTAAAAGCGTCTGTGTGTAAAAGCGTCTGTGTGTAAAAGCGTCTGTGTGTAAAAGCGTCTGTGTGTGAAAGTGCCTGTGTGCAAAAGCTTCTGTGTGTAACAGCTTTTGTGTGTAAAAACTTTTGTGTGTAAAAGTTTCTGTGTGTAAAAGCTTCTGTGTGTAAAAGTGTTTGCGATGCAAACTATTGTCGTGTACTTGTGCAATATTGTCTTGATACTCCTCTTCTTGTCTGCCTATAATGCATCTTTAATATATTGTTTTGTCATTTGGCGTCTCCATACTAACAAGAGAAGACCCTGCTCCTCTACGCTCTCGGGCCATCCGTCGTCTAGTTTTTAAATGGCCGGTGGGAGAATTCATGATAAACCATCAAGATCTACAGGTTGGTCCCAGAGATTAAAAACACTTGATGATTGAACTGCCCTGCGGTAACATCAAACGTGGCCCACTGGGACATCCCCAAACTGGAGGTTTAATTAGGAAAATCATCGAAGTAAATGGGGATGTTCCAACAATGTTGGATGACACCGGAGGGTACATACCCATTGCGGTTTACCCAGACATCTCCGGCGCTCTTCGATGCCATGGAACGTGGGGCTCGCATGTTCCACGAAGCAAGACATGGCGCTTGAAAAATTCCCGTCCAGATCCTGCTGGAGAACATTTGGAGATTGCGTGGGAATCTAAAGAAGAAACATGGTCCAATGGTAATTCTTGACCATGACCATCACATGCCATCACCAAAATATGCTCAAAGAGACTCTTGGAACCCACCAGAACGGTTTGTCATGAGAGAATCCGATCAAAATGGCGAAATCTTTGCTAAAGGCTTTGGGCATACGTCTAGTGAGGATCCATGATCCGAGTAGGGAGCATGACGCATTTTTGAAACCATACCAGCCACCAAACAGAGAAGGGAACAGGTCCTACCTGAACAATGGTGCATCCAAACTGTTAGGTTTCCAGCTGCGCGCAAAGGCCATTAACTATATTCTCATTGCAAACAATCCCATCTTGCAACATTGAAGGGCTAACACAAGAGCTATTACCAATCTTAGATACAACCCCCAACAGTGTGAAGGGGTAGGAAGTCAATGTGCCGGATGCAAGCAACAGTAGCTATGGAACAGTAACATATCAGGTTAGACATTCTCGTAACTGCAGCAGCAGGAACTTGTTTTGGCACAAGAAGCAATGCTATGTCTAGCCATCAAGACCTCAAACAAGAACCTCATACCAGGACATCGAAGAGTAATCGAAGAGAATTTCAAAAGATCAAACAAGGACCGTCAAGAGGACCTTACAAGATCTTCAAGAATTCGTATGAGGATCCTGGAAAAACCCACTTTCATACAAACACCAATGCAGAGCACCTTCAAGAGCTTAATGCAAGGACCTCTGAAGGAGGACTTCAACAGGATTTTTCACAAGATCTTCTCACAAGGACCAGCACAAGATCATGCAAGGACTTCTTAGAGGATTTCGCCAGGATCTCTGCAAGATCTTTTCACAAGTAATTGTACACACCTTGGCCAAGATCTTCATGCCAGGGCCCCTAGGAGGATCTCACAAGATCGTCATAAAAGGACCTGCAGCTGCTGGAGAGGATCTTGCAAGTTACATGATCTTGATATAAGAACCTTCCAAGAGCATCCCAGAAGAGCTTTCATACAAGCGCCTCTAATACATGGCATCTGCAAGATCTTCATGCAAGGACCTCTTAAGGAGGATCTCACCAGGATCTCCGCAAGATCTTCTGCTAAGGACCTGTACAGGATCATGCAAGGTCCTCTTAGAAGATGTCAGCAGGATCTTCACAAGATCTTCTCATAGGACCTGTGCAAAATCACGCAAGGACCTCTTACAGGATTTCATCAGGATCTTCACAGCATCTTCTCACAAGGACCTCTACAAGACCTAGATCAAGATCTTCATAAATTAGGGATCTCCAAGGCTGCACCATGAAACTCTTGCAAGATCCTGATAGAAGGACCTTCCGGAGAATTCATAAGATCTTTTTTCCAGGATGTAAGAGAATCATCTAAAATCAGCACGGCGCCACAACGAGAGCGGTCCAACAGGGACAAAGTGCCGAGAAGGTTGCGCGAGCCATCAAAATTTGTTCTGCGCCACAACGAGAGGGATCCGACCTGCACAAATTGCCGAGATGGTTGCGCTAGCCATGTCAAAATTTGCACCGCGCGCGATATCAAAATTCGCACCGCAACACAGCGAGAGCGATCAGACACGCGCAAAGTCACGAGATGGTTGCGCGAGCACATGTTAGATTTTCCCAAAACATTGTGCGCACCACAAAACATGAACATTGGAAGTGTCAAAAAAAACGTTTTACTTAGGTTTCGACCATGTTTTTGTCCAGGCAAAGTACTGCGCCTGCCATGAAAAATGAGCCCGAGGCATCCGAAGTGCTGTGCCTGCCACAGGGAATCATCATGTCCCAAATCAAAAATGATGACAGTTTCACAAAACGAGACTTTCAACCCTTTCAAAACGTCGTCCAAGTTCACCAAATATTGCGCCTGCCATGCAAAATGATCTCCAAAACCACCTCTCATTTTGACCCACGCCTTCCAACGTTTTAGCGACCTGCAGTGCCACGCCTGCCACACAGATGAAAAAATGTCCGATGTCCTGCACCTGTCACGCAAAACGACGTTTTAGACCTCAAAATGTCCCAGATGTCCCACGCCTGCCACACAAAATGGACATAGCTCAAAAAAACAGCACAGCACGCTAGTAAAACTACACCTTTGAAAACGAGCAAAACGGGACGCTCACTTTGTGCTAAACTGCGCAGTCGAAATGCACATGGACATCTCAGAAGGGAACTTTTATTCAAGAATTTACAGCCAAATGGCCGGAGATCAGATGGAGCACCCTGTTCTAACCCCGGCCCTTTAGCTCCTACTGTAAGAACCCCTCAGTCACACTGTTTGGAGAATTTCCCGTGAACTTCAGAAAATCAGCAAATCCAACACCAGCACGCGGGCCCGAAGCCTGAATCAAATACTTGATGTAGTAATTCACCCGTCGCATGCCATGCACCGAACGCCGCGAACGCCAAATGAAGCCGTCCAACAAGGTCTCCAGCAAGGTGGGGGCACCTCAAAAAGGAAGGCGAAGAAAATACCCCGGCTTTCGAACAAAACATGGGGAAACCCATATTGACAACTTTAACAGGGAAAATCATGCACCATGGGAGGGATTTCGAAACCACGCAGGTCACTGGCCTTTTGAGGTTCATCAACCAGGGCTAAACTGAGATTCGCCTGGCTGCACATTGAACATGGGCTACAAATCCAATGATTTAGAACATGAAATTACCCATTCAACTTCATTCAACGGGTCATTTTGGGACAGATCAAACATGATTAAACCCACCGAGTGTGTCAGCTGACGAGAAACTTGTACACAAGCGTTTGACGATGTCCGGGTGTCTTCTGAACAACTCCTGTGGCGGATCTGAGTGGTTAGACCTGGTCTTCGTACCTGGAAGAAAATCCAAATCAAAACATCCAATATCTCTGTTTAGCAGGGAAATATAGGATGGACAACAATGAGTTCATTTATTCATATTTATTCCTATCGAATATAGGATGTGTAAAGAAACCCTTGACAACAATGCACGGAGTTTTGACTTTTTCTCAAGGCATCGTAGCACTCAAGTCTGTGTTGCACGGCGCAACAAGTCTTCGTAGATGGCCCCTTTGGTAGGCATGGACTTCAACTTCAAGGTGCTCAAACCGTCCTAAGGTAGACAGAATATAAAACGAGACCATCCTCAATAAAACAACTGTCTATTGATGTCTACGGACATTTAGGGAGATTCTATTGACGTCAGAATGCTTATGTGTTTACCATATTTATATATATGTAACTCCTGCAAAATCTATAATTAACATCATACACATGATACTTTTCATCTTTTTGGAGGCTGAAAAGTGGCTGATTTTGTGATGGCCCCGTTTTTTCGTCTTCCCGCCTCGCAGCCGTAGTAGTAGACCTCACGATCTGCCCGGATCGTCAACAAGTCCTGACCGTTTTAATATGGATCCAACTGGGGCCCCTCTGGTTCTCTGGTGGAAAGCCCAAATTCGGGTAAACATTTACATAGATGTGGAAGCCATGGTCCATGGCAAATGTATGAATATTATGAAATAACTACCGTTCTTAAGAATGGTGATTTTCCACATCTGTGTTAGTTTGCCCATGAGTTGGGATATAATCTGAATATCCACATATATATATATATATCCACATATATATTCTGGGTAAATTATCATATTTCACTAACCTGAATTAAGGCCCATTTGGGGATGATTTCCCTTATTAACCATGATTTCCAGTGAGGGAGAACAGTGAGGTCGCTATAATTTACCCAGATGTGTATATATATATATATATACATATACATATTTGATCAAAGGAAGTTTAGGGGGAGAAACTTCCGTGTTACGGACTTTTAGAATGTCAGGGAAAGAGTTAGTCAAAGAAAGAGTTAGCAAAGAAAGAGTTAGTCAGGGAAAGAGTTAGTGAGGGAAAGAGTTAGTCAGGGAAAGAGTTAGCAAAGAAACAGTTAGTCAGGGAAAGAGTTAGTCAAAGAAAGAGTTAGTGAGGGAAAGAGTTAGTCACAGAAAGAGTTAGCAAAGAAAGAGTTCGTCAGGGAAAGAGTTAGTCAAAGAAAGAGTTAGTCAAAGAAACAGTTAGTCAGGGAAAGAGTTAGCAAAGAAACAGTTAGTCAGGGAAAGAGTTAGTCAAAGAAAGAGTTAGTGAGGGAAAGAGTTAGTCACAGAAAGAGTTAGCAAAGAAAGAGTTCGTCAGGGAAAGAGTTAGTCAAAGAAAGAGTTAGTCAAAGAAACAGTTAGTCAGGGAAAGAGTTAGTCAAAGAAAGAGTTAGTGAGGGAGTTAGTCACAGAAAGAGTTAGCAAAGAAACAGTTAGTCAGGGAAAGAGTTAGTCAAAGAAAGAGTTAGTGAGGGAAAGAGTTAAAGAAAGAGTTAGTCAAAGAAACAGTTAGTCAGGGAAAGAGTTAGTCAAAGAAAGAGTTAGTGAGTTAGGAAAGAGTAGTAGTCAGTCAAAGAAAGAGTTAGCAAAGAAAGAGTTAGTCAAAGAAAGAGCAAAGAAAGAGTTAGCAAAGAAAGAGTTCGTTAGGGAACGACTTAGTCAAAGAAATGGTTCCCTCACTGTAAATGGGATTGCAAGTGGTGCTGGTGGAGGAGTTGCCGATGGAGTTTTGAAGGAAGTCTCGCACGAAATGCGTTTGTGAGAGATAGCAGATGCACGAAAGCCTATGTTTTTCCATACAAAGTCCGTCCCCGAACCTCGATGATCTACCTCTGCGGTGCGACGGTTGCGAGACGGTCTCGTGTGTGGTCGGATCATTCTCGGATCATGGTCGGATCGGTTCCGCATTGTAAATGGGGTTTCAACTGTTTTTCGTGCATGTGCGGTCGACAGAATTCCATTGTGATTTGCAACTGTAGGATCGTTCCCGCAATGTAAATGGGATTGCAAGTGGTGCTGGTGGATGAGTTGCCGATGGAATTCCATTGTGATTTGCAACTCTAGGATCGTTCCCGCAATGTAAATGGGATTGCAAGTGTTGCTGGTGGATGAGTTGCCGATGGAATTCCATTGTGCTTTGCAACTGTAGGATCGTTCCCGCAGTGTAAATGGCTGCGTCAAGGTTGCTTCGTGCTGTGGCTGCAATTGGTAATACTATTGTCTTTTGCAGCTGGATCTCGTAAATCGTACTGGAGTGGCTGCATGAAGGCTGCCACAGTGATTTGTCAGCAGATTTTCTCCATTTTGGCGCTAGTGATTTTCCTTCTAAAAATCCTTTTAAAAAGTGCTTCAAAATCGTCTTTTTTTCGCTCTGGCGTCGAGATCCATCCGGTTTTGGAGCTACAATTTCCGACGCCGTTGCGCGTAGTTCTATTGTGTTTTGCAACTCAATCTCTGCAGATCGCATTGTAATGGCTGCGTCAAGGTTGCTTCGTGCTGTGGCTGCATTCGTAATACTATTGTCTTTTGCAGCTGGACTTCGTAAATCGTATTGGAGTGGCTGCATGAAGGCTGCGACATGATTTGTCAGCAGATTTTCTCCATTTTGGCGCTAGTGATTTTCCTTCTAAAAATCCTTTTAAAAAGTGCTTCAAAATCGTCTTTTTTTCGCTCTGGCGTCGAGATCCATCCGGTTTTGGAGCTACAATTTCCGACGCCGTTGCGCGTAGTTCTATTGTGTTTTGCAACTCAGTCTCTGCAGATCGCATTGTAATGGCTGCGTCAAGGTTGCTTCGTGCTGTGGCTGCATTCGTAATACTATTGTCTTTTGCAGCTGGATCTCGGAAATCGTCTTGGAGTGGCTGCATGAAGGCTGCGAAATGGGTTTGTTAGCAGATTTTCTCCATTTTGGCACTGGTGTTTTTTTGTTGGACGTACGTTTAGAGCAGTGTGAAGTGTGGGGCGTGAAGAGTGCAGTGTGAAGTGTGAAGTGTGAAGGAAGCAGTGGGAAGTGAGAAGTGTGAAGTGTGGAGTGTGAAGTTTCAGTTTGGAGTGCGAAGAGCGCAGTGTGAAGTGTGAAGTGTGAGGTTTGGAGTGTGAAGGAAGCAGTGGGAAGTGAGAAGTGTGAAGTGTGGACTGTGAAGTGTGAAGTGTGGAGTGTGAAGTTTGAAGTTTGGAGTGCGAAGAGTGCAGTGTGAAGTGTGGAGTGTGGAGTGTGAAGACTTTGCTTCGTCTCTCGCTGAAAAAAAACCGCTTGTCGAGGGAAGGACACGGTCGGGACAGGTTTTTCTTCGAACTATAGGTCATGTATTTTTGGGAAACTTCCGCCGCCGGCTTGCCCGGGTCTATGTTATCTACTTACAAGTAAAATTGCACCCCGAACATCTGGGGATGGATCAATATCATCCTAGAAAAAGGTCGGTGAACATGCTCAAACAGTCTATCCTTCTGATTGCATTTTTTTTGCACGATCTGCCTGTCAAGCTCTCAGCTTAGGTCAGAATTTTGGCATAATTGGCAAAGATGTATCCTGCTGATTCTTGCACCTTTTCAATGCAGTATCTTCTATAGAACCGCTCAATTTCCAGGGTCAATCCTCTCGTGTGTGTTAGCCATACACGGTGAACGGTGGAAAACGATCTCAAGCACTTTGGGAACGGGAAGCAAGATGAAATTTATCCTCCGAAAGAAAAAACATGGCAATCGAAAATCCCACATTTCGAGATTATTTTCCCAGCTATAAACTTCGGTTTGTTCGGGGATTTCCCAGCCATGTTTGATGACACCTGAGGTTAGAGCCCATTATATCACCTTAAATCCCCCTTAAACTCCATTCAATCCTATTAAGCTCCATGAATCAGTATCAACATGTATTAACATGTATCAACGTCCCCCATATTGAAATGACGAGTCCGCTCCGGTCGCGGTCTCCTGGATCATGGCTCTGGCGCTATTCAAACTGCCGGATTCGATGGCCCAGAACAAAGGTGAGAAGGACTGGGTTCCCACCTGGCGGAGCTGGGCATTGCGAGGAGCGCATTTGACATGAAAAAGTTTGGAAAAGAATTGGAGAATGGATTGGATAATGATAATCTTATGATGATCAACGCTCTCAACGCATAGGTTTTTAACACTCCACCATGGCTAGGACACGATGCCAAAAGCTTAGCTTTTGGACGCCAATCACTAACTTCCCCGCCAATCACGCGTCAACATGATGGCAGCAGCCTTCCAGCCGTGCAAAAGTGCGCAAAGCTGCGTGGAGGACAATTAAACACACAATGACACACACTGCGAAACACTGTAATTTACAACCTTTCGTGCTCGTGGAAACCTCTGCGGCTTCGCTGCCTAGCACGACTAGACGCTGTGGAGTTGAGGAAAAAGGGGGCCACCTAAGAGGACAAATTAGCAACGCACAGTTTGGTGCCTCGGTCGAAATAGAGTCTGTCCCATGAGTCGCTGGCAAGATTTCATCTCTGTACACATTTTCGTGGATAGAACGAGCTTCATCGATAGGCCGTCCATACAAAGACGAAGCATAGTACGAAGAGTGCTGCGTCTAAACGTATTGAGGATGATTCGGCTGCCCCGATGAAAGCGACGGCCAAGGCTATGAATAGTCATAGAAATTCTTTGATCAGAAGCTGGTCCTAAATCCATATCGTGGCAGTGATAATACTGTCCCACAAGATTAAATAATGAAATGTGGCAACGCAGAAAATCTGTCCGAATACCAGCACAGCCTGTGCTGTAAATTCCACCACAGAGTACGAACTGCGGATAAAGCAATGGTATCTGACTCAATGCCGGATGGAGGAAGGTAGCACACTGGAATGAGCTGCAAGGACACGGATAAATTAATCACATATATATATATATACACATACCTATATATATATAAACACATTTCACATCATGACATATGATATTGTTAATGCTGGCTCATTTAGGATTTTGGGGTGTTTGCCCTTCCCAAGCATTTTGATGCTCTTAATCACATATTTGTTGGTTCATACCTTTTGTTGTTGGCTAAACTGATTGGATTTAAATATTTAGTCTCTATTCAATTTAAGTATTCCCTGAAGATTCTCAAATTTGCCTAAATGTGGATCCGATATTATGTTGGTAAAACACTAATAAACCATCCCCAAATTTACCATAAATTTCATGTATAAACCATCAACATATGGGTGGTTTATTATTGCTTTACTAACATTAAATGGTTAGTCATATCAAAAGTTCCAGCCATTTATAGATGATTTCAATAAACCTCGTTTTATAGATGATTTTCCATCTATGGATTTTAAAACAATTTCACCTGGTTGGCGGTTTTAACCATTTTGAAAAATGATGGAGTTCGTCAATGGGAAGGATTGCATCCCCAATATATGAAATGGAAAATATCCAAGCCGTGTTCCAAACCACCAACCAGATATATTGTTATTCCAATTATTAACCATTATTAACCATAGATTAACCACAGATTAACCATGAAAATTCATGTTCCAAACCACCAACCAGTCCTTTTTTTATCTGTGATTTTGCAGCATCCAACGTTCAAACCATATCCAGAGTTCTGCCGAAAAACAAACGCGGCATTTTTGCTGTCAAAGTCACCCGTGAAAGTCATCTCTCTCACATTTTTTCCCCAAAAATGATACATAGCATAGTAAATAGTATTACTTCCATATTTGTTTATCAGGATACGTATTGTACTAAATCGTCTTACTCTCAAATTCAAGTATTTGGGAATACTCCTTCATTATAGACTCAAAGTAATCCATTTCTCACACACATTAATCACATAATACTGAAACTATTTTACAAAAATGGGATTACCAATTTCCGGATTATTCATAATTGAGTATGACTATTACTCCAATATTTCCAAGTGTTTCAATCCAATTCTAAGTATTATAAAATAAAACTAATTAATAAAATATATTATATATAATCTGATATAATATAATACAAGATATCATAAAACGATATTGTAGTTACACTCCAATTATTACAGTATACATATATATATATATCTCAGATATATCGTAGTTAGTTACAATCCAATTACTCATATTTTCACTATAAGAATCTGGTTGGTGGTCGACCTATCCCTCTGAAAAATGATGGACTTCGTCAGTTGGGATGATGACATTCCCAACTGAATGGAAAGTCATAAAATTCATGTTCCAAACCACCAACCAGTTGATTTATGTGGATAAACCATATTCATGGATAAATAAACCATAGTTATTGTGGATAAACAACATATTCATCTCCACGCACTCTGCACTTACCCATCTCCCCTCCAGCGTACCGAGATGTTCAGCAGCTCTGTGGCCCGATGCTGCCGCGGCGCCACGGCAATGGCCTTCCGCAACGCCGCCTGCGGGGATTGCCGATGGAAGTTGACAAAAATGGGATTAAGATAAAACGACTCAAATGACTTAGATGTAAATACTGTATTTACAGTATATGGTATAACTTGATTGTATATCACATTTATCACATTTATGATGATAGTCGGAATACTAGTGAGCACTTTAGTTCAGAATAAGAGTGACACGTACTGCTAGCCATAGTAAAACAAACACCAGGGTACTATACAGCGAACTTATATGTTAGTTTTGTGAACGACGAGTTCAACCCAGTTCCTTCTATCAATGGGTATGGCTCAAAAAATGAGTAGCAATGGACCCACAGAGTGCTGGTCATTTTAAATATCAAACAATCGATTTTATGGTGATTGGTAATTTTGAGCCACACCAATGTCGGTAAACTATCATTGCTATAGTACTAGACAAAAAAGAACTGCGTATGAAATATAGGGGGTTCTTAAAATGGTGGATCCCCAAAACTTCGGGTTTCAATACTAAAATGGTCAATGACTTGGATAATTTGGGGGTACCCCCAGCCTCCATATATCCTAATCAAGACGCTAAACAACAATAGAAGTAGCGGACCTCGTCCAAACATTGGTGACTTTTGTTGTGCTCAAACGGGAAGATTCAGCATCTTGGTGACGCCACAAAGAAGGGGTTCAAGGAACCTTTCATACGATCCCGATCCCCACGGCAATGTCCACAGAAGAGCCGCAATTTTTTGGTTTCATGTCAAGGGCCTCAGAGCTGGATGATTGGCAAATCAATGGCATATTCAAGACAAAGAACCAGATTTCTTAACCACGGGGGAATTGCCAATTTTTAGTCATTTTGAATAGATATGTTGTAAACGTTGACAACTCCATTGAATTTCTTAGCCATAATTCATCACAATTCATAATGCTGACTTCCTCCAATAAGGACAATTGTAAGCAGCCAAAACTGAAGAGATCCAATACAAATACCAAGGCTCTCTGGCATTACTATGCATTATTTTCATATGATTTGGGAATGCGAGGTTCGCCATGTCGCCTCATCATTGAGATTTATGGCCTTCATGACAATGGTCGAACCTGGCTCAATGGCTGGATTAATCGGCGGAAGGTAGCTGAACGAATCTAACCTTGCTGGAAATTCTCCAATACCCTCTGGTAAACTAACATAGCGAACTGGAAAATCACTATTTTAACAGGTAAATCAACTATAAATGGGCCATTTTCAATAGCTACGATAAATTAGCAGAGGGTAGCATGTTCATTGCTACCAGTACGTTTCATTGCCAGAGTGTGTCTAGAACTATTACTACCTTTGTCTACACCTAGATTTCGGCTAAGATATGGCTGGTTCGAAGGCTCTTTGGAAACAAACATGAGCAAGAATCAGGATCATGAACCAAATCTCGGGTCAGAAACCCTCCAAATCCCACATGATGTATGAACTAACGTAGAAACGGATGGAACCTGTGCATTGAGGTTCACATCAACATAGCTGGTAGTTGTGAATGCGATATACCGGCAAGTTCACAGTTTGCTATTGAAAATGGCCCAGCAAGAGTTCGATATCTATGAAAACATGGTGATTTTCCACTTCGCAAAGTGGTCCACTTCATTACCAGAGAGGAAACGCGGTGACCCATGCCGCCACCGGAATATAAGGGTTGCTGATGGTTGGTGTTCAATCCACATTTGCAAGCGTTACAGCCACTTAAGTGCTAGTTGTTAAGGAGGGGGGGCATGGCTTCATGAATTTGAAGGAATTTCTGGCAGCGGCTTTGTCGCAAGAAAAGAGTACCCCTCAAAATAACAGTTTGAGTAGAGAACATGATTTTCTAAACCAGCGTACTTTACATATAATTCTGCCATTTTGGGACACTACCAAGCCATGAACAGTATCCCTATCCCATCCCTGAAATACTGGTTGGTTAATAGGTACCTCGCTAATGATGGTTTATCATCATGCTCAATAAATTAAACAGGTTATGAAGCCTCAATTTCATGACCAATTGACGATCATGTATCAATGACATGCCCACTTCTTTCCCTTTCTCTCTCTATATTTCATGGTTTAAACCCATACCTGGCGCTATCCCATGTGTCAGTTGTATCCCCATCGATTGTTCCAGCCCCATGTAGTCCCATACAGCTCCATATAGTTGTGGCTACAGGAAATCTCATTAAAATCTCATCAAACTGAGGCTAACCCTCAGTAGCTGCTGGTTGAACAACCCATCAACCATAATTTCTTGACGATATCCCCGTTGTTTATGATGAAAAACACCATCAGCATAATGATCAAATCCCCTTTCGAACTTAACAAGAACGGTGTGGGGGGTATTTCACAACGCCACATGTTTAGCCAGGCTCTTTAGCCTCATCAAAACAGCGTAAAATCCATGAAGTCCCGCCTTCCAAGATCACCCGCATGAGAATCTTGGAGATCAAATTCAGACCTGGGAAAACGCCGGAAACCCATCAGAGATTGCTGGGTAGTGCCTCCACATCAAACTGGCCATTTTTACACAGCTGAATCAATGATGCGGCGTGGCCGGGCTGGAGTCGAAAAGTTGGTCATCACCAGATTCACCACCCAACGATGTCAGTTTCCCATGGATTTTCACCTCAACTCATGGGTAGTAGTCTTGGATACCCAAAATAAGTTCGTTGGCAATATATATATATGATATTCCTCCATATATGGCAAGAAAATAAACTTGATGAAGCACTGCTACTCTAGATATGCTGCAAACAAGTCAGCTTTTTGGCTGGTTAGTTGACTTCTCCCATCTGTATCTATTTATTGCAAAAACAGATCCAACTAGCCTACCCATGCACCAAGATTGAATCAGTAGTTACCCTCTGGTAATCGAAGATCGCAATGGACAATTCCGCATTTATAGTTGATTTTTCTCATGAAACCTCTATTTAAAGTTGATTTCCCAGCCAGGTTTAGTTCCCGGAGGGTATGCGAAACCACCC